TCAATGCATAACACAGGCGGCCAGGTACAGGCAGGCTACATAGGCAGGGATGCACCGCAATCAGCTGCTCTTTGCTTGGCCCTCAGCTTGCTTGCATATGGTTTCCATGTATGGTCTTGCCTGCGTGTGCCTGCCTCTGCTTGGGTCGACAGCTTGCCTTCCGACACCGACCGAACCAACCAAGGAATAGGAATCCCGATGAGAGCACCCGACCCGCCTCATCTGCCCGGTCGGTGTCGATGGTCTCGGGGCGGCAGAACCACCCCTCGAGGATCCCACTCATTGTCCTTCCTCCCTCCCTTCCTGCCTGCCTGCTTGCTTTCTTGTCGATGGGTTCACATGAACTTTGCGGCGAGGTGGCGCCGACAATATACTGGAAAGGCCGTATTGTCATGCGAACGAACATGCCCATACACAGGCGTAGACTGCCCGATGCAATGGAATCTGTGCCCTAGCTGCAGCAGCAGATGTATGGGTCAATGTGCGACCTGACCCTCGCCTGGTTGTCAGAGAGTGGTATGTATCGGTCAAGGGGCAGGCCAGAAGGCGCGCGCTCAGTCGAGATGGGTGGCGGTGGTGAAACAAACCTCGTCTTCGAATTGTGGCCGACGGTGACGAGGCGAGCACGGACTCTGGGGTGCTTTAACCGCCGTCGTCGGATCTATTCGGCATGTTCGGATGGGGGCGAGAAGAATGGAGGAGCGACAAGCCATCGTCGACGCCCCAATCACATACCCAAATGGCGAAAGCGCAGGCAGCGAGGCCGGGATGGATACATACATCTCTATCCTTGCTTCGCCCGTGGTCGCTGCAGCTGGGAGCGATGCCGCCGGCGGGTGGGCAAGGGTCACTTGTACCGTTGGATGGCACGCAGGCTGGAGCGACGACGCGGGTCGGAGGATGGAGCGGGCCATGAAACCAAGGCTCTGCTGCCTCGATCCCGATGCGTGCCCTGGAAGGGTCGGGGACCCGCCCAGGCCCTCGCGCTCTGGCCCTCGCCCTCGGTCGCGCAATCGAGCGACGTCGACAGCGTTGCGATGGACGAGGGTGCGGCGGGCGGCAACGGGCTGCGGCCCATGGCCATCGACACGACGGGCCGGACCCCCTGGCAATCTGCAGCCGAAGCCGGAGGCGACGATGGCAGGTTACGGTACCGTCCCGCACCGTGCCTTGCCGTGCTGTGCCGTGCCGTGGTAGGGGTAGGGGGACAGGGCAGCCAGAGCCAGGGTCAGGGCCATGAGAGAGGCAGCTACGTAAAGCACCAGGATTCGTTCGTTCGTTCGGTCGGTCGGTGCCCACGCACAGGTGCCGGTGACACCATCATCGCTACCTGCCTGCCTGCCTGTCGCAGATAGAGACGCAAGCAAGAAGGCCAGTCAGGCGCATCGCCCCCCATCCACCCGACCGATGAGGTCCAGCGGCTTTGCTGCCTGGCCTCACCTGCCCACAGTTGTCCAGCAATGGCCGTGCGAGCGTACGGCTGCAGTATGGTGTTTCACAGGCCAGCTGTGCGGCATGCCAAAAGAAAGAGATCCGGGAGAGAAAGATGGGTGCGGCATCGATCAGATCCAGCAAGGCCCCCGGTAGCTTTAGCTGGATCAGAGAGCAGGCAATCTAACGGAAAGCAAGCAGCAGGTGGCGAGCGTAGAGGACGACGACGACGAGGGGGCTGTGTGTAGCCCGACTGCCCAGCGAGCGGGGGGGCGGCTTGGATGGCCAAAAGCCGCCTTTGGCCACCCGCTGAGCCTGGCCTGGCATCCGCTGCTGCCGCCGTCATGGAACCATGCGTATATGCACGGCCAGCTGAGGGGGGCGGGCAGGCCGAGGGGAGCCCAGCAGCCGCCCGTCTGCCTGACCCTGGCTGGCCTGCCTTCCTGCCTGCCTGCCTGCCTGCTTTCCTGCCTGCCTGCCTGCCAACCCGCCTGGCTCCTCGCTCTCCTTTTGGCCCGCACCGCCTCCGGTTAGGCCTGCTTCTGGCCTGCTTCCCTTCCTTCCTTCCTTCCCATCGTCGCGGCCCTTGGCGGTGGTCCCCTTTGCCTCGTCCTCACCACCTATCGCTCTTCCGACCCTTATCTTGCCGTTTCATCCCGGCCAGCCTCTTCTTGCCACCTCGCGTCCTTTCTTCTCCTCTTCTCCGGTTCTCCCCCTCTATTCTCTGGCTCCTTGCTCGACGACACCATCGCCTCCACTTCCATCATCTTTCATCAACCTTCCAAGGATCTTTGCTCTTCCTGGCCCGCCGGAGTCGTCATCCCTCACTCTCGTCCATACTGTCGAATCGCCCACCCACAGACGTCACTGGCAACCTATTCACACCCACACTGGCCCCACCCTGGTCGGATCGTCGGATCTCACACCGCCACCGCTTTCGTCCTTGGATTCTGCTCTTCGTTTGGCACCTCGCAGCCGGCTCCCCTCGCCGCACGGCCAGGACGACAGCTTGTGCTCGAGTCACGCCCACTACTACCTCACTCTCCTTCTTCGCCCTTGCCCACCTCCTTCCGCCTTTCACCTTCTTCGTCGCCCACCGCGCCTAAAGGCCACCTAAAGCTTCCACGGATAGCCTCCAGCTCTATCGTGTCTCGCGCCTCTAGACTGCCTCTTCCCGCCGTGTATCTGGCTATCAGTCTGGAGGATATCCTCTCTCCTCGAGCCTACGGATCCGAGACCGTCCGACCCACGGCCAATCATCTCACACGACCCGCCACGGCCGCACTGAACATTCATCGACACGGCTTGCACCTGGCAATCCATCACACCGAGCCCCTGACCCACTTCAGAGGGGTCCCGGCGCTCCCCGCCTCGCCCCATGTCGGCGGCCCCGAGCTCAGCGTCCGCGCTGCCCGGGCAAGCCACCTTCTCCATCGCCTCTTCGTCCGACCACGCCGCCGGCCACACGAGCGGCGAAAAAAAGGACGACGAAGACAGCCGCAAGCGCAAGCGCATCCAGCAGGCATGTCGCTCCTGTGGTGTCAAGCGTGTCAAGGTGAGCGACTGCGAGGGCCGCTCCTGCATCCTACCATCCGAGGCCGCATCGTCTCATTATCATTTGTTCCGCCCGCCTGCCATGGCTCTGCTCCCTCGTCACAGTGCGACGGTCTGAAGCCGTGCACGACCTGCATCAAGAGCGGCGAGACATGCGAATACGGTCAGCCAAAGAAGAGGTGAGCATGTGGATCGTCCATCCGACGACGCCCGCGTCGTGGACATCCTTATTCCCTCTCGGCGCTCAGTCACAGGCATGCTGATATCCTTCCTGCGCCTCGCTTCTATCTTGCCCTTTCACGTGTGCTCTGCTCCCATCCCGCAGGGGCCCGCCGAAAGGCTCGACTCGCGGCGGCACCAAGGCTGCGGCAAGGCGTGCAGCCCAGCTCGAGGCGCAGACCTCGGCCAGGAATCAAGCCAGACAGAACGCAGAGGCGCTCGAAGCCCACGGCACCACGCCTTGGCAGTTCTCGCAGCTACCTGCATCGGCGCCAGTCGACCCCCGCTACGCCCCGACGGGCCCGTATCGCGATGGCGCCGGGACGGCCTATCAGCCCTATGCCACGATCCCATCTGGACGAGAAGTCCGGCCGCCGTTGTCGACAGGCTCGCAATCCAGCCAACGGTTCGGCATGGACTCGGATCGCGGGCGGTATGAGGGCTCGATCGACGGCTTTGCGGCCGCCAGCAGGGGCAGCTTCAGCACCTCGAGCATCGGAGGCGACTCTGCCTCAAGCCCTCAGAGTACCTCGACGGCAGAGGCCAGAAGACCACCAGAGACCATCTTCCATGGCACAACCAGCGGGCTGGGCATCTTGCGAGCGCAGAGTGGCGACCGGAGGCTCCCTCCCCTCTTCTTCACGCCGCCGAGCCACGACGGCAGCGTATCCGGGCAGCCCTCGCTGGATCGCGAGAGCCGAGCCGACTACGCTCGCGAGATGACGCGCTCGTTCCGCTCGCCGCACTGGGGCGCCTCATCTGAGCGCATGTATCAGGATCGTCGACTCTCCGACACCACGTCCCCACCGACCGCGCAGAGGGAAGTGCCTCGCTCGCAGGGAGCAGGGCCGAGCGAGCCGGAACGCCATCTCGGCTCGGCTCCGGCGATGAGCCAAACCATGAGTGGTCCAGAGAGGATGTCGAACACTCGGCTGAGGCTTCACCTCGATCGAGGCCTGGCCAGCATGGCGGAAGCCTCTGGAGCAGCACCTGAAGCGCCATCCGAGATTGATCTCGAGCCGTTGCTGTGGGACTCGCCCGACGACGCACAGCGCCTGCCATGCCGGGGTGGCATCAGCCTGACCAAGCCCGTCGTACCGCGGCCCGTCGTCGAGAGGGTTTTCACCATCGTCTGGGGCATCCTCCAGACGTCGTGGCCCCTGCTGTACAAGCCCGCGCTGCCCCTCATCGGCCAGTACGACGTCATCGACGAGGAGAAGCGACCTTTGCTGTACAACACGGTCGCCGCGCTCGCCTCGCGCGGCTGGTTCGACGGCAACGTCTCGGACTCGGACGACAGCGCACCCGTCGACACGGCCAAGACGCAATCCGACCTGGACGAGGTCAAGCTGGCCGGCGTCCCGGGCCACACGCTGACCTACCTCGACGGAACCACGCGGCCCGTCACGACCGTCGAGCTGAGCTCCATCTTTCTCGTGCGGGCCAAGTACTACCTGCTCAAGTCGTGCAACGAGCCCAGCCTCGAGGCGGTCCAGTCGCAGCTCATCATGTCGCTGCGCGAGCAGGGCATCGGCCACCCGACACAGGCGGCCATGTACCAGCACATGGCGTGCCGCATGGCCATCGACCTCGGGCTCCACCGCCACTGCGACTTTTCCACCACGCTCGGCATCAGCTTCAGCCATGCCGAGGAGCAGGAACGTCGCCGGGCGTTCTGGATGAGCTACATCCTCGACAAGGCGTCTGGGGCCAGCCTGGGCAAGCCGGCCAACCTGCGCGACCACGAGGTCGACTGCCCCTTTCCCAATCGCGACGAGCCCGACGAGCACGAGATCTGGGCTGAGGTGGCCGGAGGGGCCTCGCTGGTGCGCGACGAGGCGCGGCCGCTGCTGCTCAAGACGCCTCACCGCGCCATGAGCCACTTCCTCGCCGTGATCCGCCTGGCGCAGATCTCGGAGCGCATCCTCGGGCTGTACAACTCGGTGCGCGACAAGCTGCCGCCCAAGGAGCGCGAAGAGGGCTGGGAGGCGAAGCTGCTCGGGCTCCATCTGCAGCTCGAGGAGCTCCAGAACAACCTCGGACCCGACCTGCAGATCGAGGAGCCGCAAAACTGCCTGCCCAACCGGCTGTGCCTCAACCTGTGGCTCTCGGTCAACAAGCTGATCCTGCACCGGCCTCACATCCTCAAGGTGCCCAAGAGCGAAGGTATGCCGTCGTCGCACCAGGTCTGCTGGCAAGAAGTGGGCCGGATCTGCCGGATCATCGAGACGTACGGCAAGAACTTTGGCCTCCGCAAGCTGTCCCAGACGTTCGTGTACGCCATCTTCACGTCGTGCACCATCGAGATCGCCAACACCACCTCGATGGACGCTGCCGTCGCCAGCGAGGCCAAGCGCAGGCTCAGGGTGCTGATGGGCGCCCTGCCGTCGATCTCGGGTACGTGGCGATCGGCCTCGCTGCACCTCGACATCCTCAAGCGGCTTGCGCACGGCATCGACGCCGATGTCGACGGCACCGGGATCGACTCCCGGCCTCAGGGATTGATGATTCAGCCTCCCACGGTAATCCGCCCGATTGGCAGTGGCGACTTTGGCGGCGTCGGTGCCGACAGCAGTGGAGGTGTCGTCGGCGGCAGCGACGCAATGTGGCGGAAGCCACCGAGTAACGGTTTCAACGGGGCGAGCCTGCCGTCCAGCGCTGCAGCCCCACCATCGCAGCAGCAGCAGCAGCAGCAGCAGCAACCGGTCCAGCATCAGCAACAGCAGCCTCCATTGCAGCAGCAACAGATGTGGCAAGCGTCCGCGCTGCAGCCGCCTCCTCTCGAGCGCCGAGGCAGATCCTCGCTGAGCGTTGCCATGAATCTGTTCGACAGCGTGCCGGGACCGCTCGGCGCTCCGATGGACTTTTCGCGATCGCGCAACAGCCTGTTTGGGTCTGGCCCGGCCTCTGGCGAGGAGACGCCGACCTTCCTGGGCGATGTCGGCAACGCCAACGGCAACGGCATCGGCTCTGCCCCCGCCGCCACGGGCGGGCAAGGCTCCGTGGGTCTCTTGTCGGCGGGGTCGGCCCAGAACATGGCGCAGCAGGATCCCATGCAGATCCAGGCGACGATGGCCTCCTTGTCCAATCCATCGTACGTCTGGGCGCCGTCATTGGACGCCACGCCGTTCGATGCCTCGCGCGGCTTTGCCGGCGTGGCTGCTGGCAGCGGCAACGGCGGAGCCGGCGGCGGGGGTAGCAACTTGGGCATGGCGGCCGACCTGTCGGCCAATCCGGCGAGCGCGCCTGTCCTGCAGGCGCCCGGTCTGTTCAGCGGCGGCCTCTCGCAGACGTCGTCCGGGGTCGACAACGGCTTCCCGACGGCGGGCGGGTTCGCGGGCGGCAACCCGAACCTCGACACGGACGCGATGCTGCGCTTCCACGACGCCTCGTACTGGGGCTCGATGCCGCTCAACTCCGAGGACCCGCTGTCGTGGGCCAACTTCACCAACTCGTACGTCGAGGCGCTCGCATCGGTTCTCGACCCCCACGGGATAGCTGGCGGCGACCCGAACCAGCAGCCGCAGCAGCAGGGGTCGATGCAACAGCAACAGCAGCAGCAGCCGCCACCGCAGCAGCAGCAGCAGCCACAGCCACAGCAGCAGCAGAGGCAGCCGCAACAGTATCCCCACTTGCACCCGCAGCAGCAGCAGCATCATCCGGGGCAAGCGCACAGCAACCAGCTCGGACTGGCGCCCCCGCCGTCGCAGCGCACAGGCCTCCACTATCCGGCCTAGTGAGAGACATCACCCCCTCACTCTTCCGAGGTCAGCGCCGCTTCAGCTCTTTCTCCCGCCTTGCCTTTCGTCCCCTCTCGACCGTTCCTCTTCCGTCCCAGCTCACTGGACTTGCTTATTCCCCTGTACGCTACAAATGTAACACTACGGCGACCGCCGAACCGGCTCTTGATTCAAAGACACTCGCTCGAGGCCCTGATGGATACCAACACGAGCGGCGTGGGCAGGGAAATGGGTCTCTAGTCGTCCTTTGCAAACGGCGCGCTGCCGGGCGGCGCGAGGGGCCCACCGCGATTGAGGCCATCGCCCTTGCCGCTGTAGAGATCCTCTCTCCTCTTTTTCTGTGCGTCCGTCTCGCCGGCGGCGAGTTGGGCGCCCTGTCGAAAGAGGCTCTCGTTTGTCGAGAGGATCTTTGCGCCCTCGTGGTCCGCCGCCATATCGCCGCCCGCTGTCGTCGCGGTCGACGAGGATGCGGCGGCGAGGGGGTTGTGGGTGATGGGGACGTCGAGGCCGACACGGCGGGCCGTGAGACGCACGCGCTCCTCTTCGCTCATGCCGTGCGATGGGTTGTAGCGCTCCAGCAGGTCGAGGTATCGCGTCTTGTTGTGCAGGAACGAAGCGAGGTTTGCCAGTGTCCGCTGACGCACGTCGATGTCGCCGCTGCCGCTGCTGCCCGAGGACGAGGGACCGCCAAAGGGGAGGGTGGATGTGGAAGGACCGGCCTCGGTGCTCGTTAGCACGTCCCGAATGTAGTGCTGCAGCGGCGAGACGGTGCGCTTGGATCCGGTCGCGAATGTCGATGCTGCGGACTGCAAGTGAGCGAATGTGCGAGCCGAAGACGAGAGGAGGGATGGGGATCAGCAACGAGATCATGCGCCAGGTGGCAAAGACGGCGGGCGCGGCGCGGGACGTACCGAGCGGCGGATCGAACGAGAGAGGGTGCGGTAGAGGGACCGCAGCGAGGCGGGCGAGGTGGCCGGGGTAGTCGCTGCCATCTTTGCTAGGACGTCGATGGGCGAGGATGAGGTGCAGGACCAGGAGGACCAGGAAGAATGTACGTGTGCTAAGGGTCGAGGCGGCAGGCAGGCAGGAGCTGGGTCGTTGTGGAGCCGTGCCCGCCGCCGTGTCTCTTTCGCCCGAGACAAGCCTGGCCGCAGCCTATTTCAAACAGAGAAAATCCGTCGAGAAGGGGATCAAGACCCGAGCGCGAAGAAAACCAGCCAGACCTGCCTTCCCAACCTCGCCGTCTTCTCACCACCACCACCGGATTGCAGAGGTATGTACTGCGCGCTCGTCTTATTTCACCTCATCGCCCCTCGCCCACACCTACCCAGGCGACAGGGGGTCCGCGAACGAGTCAAGGCGCAGGTGGCAGGGGGCAGACCGAGGAAGATACATCTCCGATGGGCGGACAGAATACACCGCGCGCGGCTCTCCGGCCGTGGCGGGGCTCCAGTGTACAAAGTGAGCTCCGCCCGCCGGCGCTCAGACAAGGGGTCGCGCGCTCATTTGGTGATATCTACATCGGTTTCTGAGGTCTCCCTCGCCTCCTCCAGGACCCCGGCGTCGTTGAGGTGGCAGCAGTAGCGGCGGTATCCGGCCCGTCTCAGCAGAGAAAGGTCGACTGAGGCTGACCTGGTCCCCGGCTCCCTTACCTTGCTCTTGCCCTCGTGCATCTCATCCAGGTTGCCACCTCGCTTTGCGCCCGTCGGTGTCTGTAGACCTTCTGTCGATGTCGAATGGGATGAGCTCGATTGAGAAAGACGACGAGATGCCCGTGGATCTCGCACCCGATCTGTCTGCTTGCTGTCCGCGCAGCGTGGCCCCGATCCGTGTGCTCGACCGTGCGCCCTGCCTGCCTGCCTGCCTGCCTGCCTGCCTGCCTGCCTGCCTGCCTGCCTGCCCGCCCGCCCGCGTTGGGTTGCTCCGTGCGGTCAGGGTCCAGCAGGAGCCTCTTCTCTTCCCCCTCACTTCCTCCCAACCACCACTCCCCTCCGCCTCCATCTCCGCTAGCCTGCCACTATGTCAGGTGCCGATGCCGTCACCTCGTCGCCACAGACCTCCGGGTTGCCCGCAGTCCTCGCTGCTGAGACGGCCGACACCTCCACGCAGCCTGCAGCGCAGGAACGGGGCGATGCGGGTCCCGTTGTCGCGCCACTTGCCGCTGCTGCAAAAGAGGGAGGGCCTGCCTCGACTGCATCCCAAGCTCATGCTGCCGCTGCGGCGCCGCTGACATCACCAGTGGGTAGCGGCGAGGCAGTCGCGACCGTGCTGCCATCCGATGCGACCACGCTCTCGTCCGCAGGAGTTGCGACGTCGGGGCCGCCCGCCCTCGCCGCGCCGCAGTCCGAACACGCTACGTCTACGTCTGCGCTCAAGCCTGCTCTTGCGCCCACGCCCAATCCAGGATCAGCAACCCCCGACGGCACCACCACCACCACCGGCGGCGCTGCCTCCCCCATGCCGCCTCCCGCGCCGAAGCTCACCACCTCGCCGAGTACGCTGCACAGTACGCTGCTACGCTCCAGCGACCTGCCCACGCTGCGCACCGACCTGTTTGCGCAGTACAGCGCCACATCCGCCACCGCCCTCCGCACCGCCCTCTCCGATCAGCTCACGTCCAAGGTTACGGCCGACTTTCAGCGTCTCGTCTACCGCGACTCGCGCGTCCAAGTCGACGAGCTGGTCCGCTTCGTCGAAAAGCAGGGCGTCTACGATCAGATCCTCGACGACGCCTTCAAAGGCGCCCTCGCTAAGGACGGAGAGATCGGAGCGAGGCTCTGGAGGCTGGTCCAGGATGCGGTGCAGCAGCAGGTGCGCGAATCGCTGCGGGCTAGCGCAGGCGAGGTTGCGAGCAAGGGCGCAGGAGAAGGCGACATGGACGTCGATGAGCCCTGACGTCGCGCCGGTACACGCCACGCAGCAAGACGATACGCATCGACAGTAGCATGGCTGTCCACGACCCAGATTGCGACGGCATGGACCATCCCTCATCGGCAAGCCACACCGTCGATCAGCTACAAGAACCAGCGCAGGATCGGCCACACCTTGTCCACCTCGACCCTCCAAGTCACCCTCCGCTGCTGCTGGTGCCGCGACGACGCCGGCCGACCGCCCCGCTCGCTGGATCGGTCCAGCTTGTCGAGGACCCGGAGCGCCAGCGACTGCACCAGCTCGACGTCGCCGTCGTTGCCCGCGCTCAGCCCAAGCGACGCCATCTCCTTTGTCCCGATCCGCACCGTCAGCACGACTGCGCCACTACCGCTGCCGCCGCCGCCGCCGCCGCCATCGCCATCGACTTCAAGCAACCGCCTCGTCTCTTGGGCCTCGCCGTCCGACGCCCCGGATCCTGCGCCGTCAAGCGCCTGGTCGCGCTCCTCCCTGAGGATCTCGACCAGCCCTTGCACCAGGGCGCGCGTCCAACGGCCCCACACTGTCCAGAGCGAGTCGGACAGGAGCAGGCTCCAGTCCTCGTGGCCGCCATCGACGCCGATCTCCTCGTCCGCCTCATCGACGTCGTCGTCGACACCCCGGATCGACGACGAAGAGAGCGGGATGTGGTTGCCGAACCGGTCGAAGCTCATCCGCCGCCCGTAGCCGCGCCCGCTAGAGACGCTGCCGACGGTGCGGCGCGAAGGTGCTGCCGCCCCCCGCCCGTTGCTGTGCGCGCTGGTGGCGTCGTCGTCGATGGCACCGCCGGTGCTGCTCGGCCTCCTGCCAAGGCCGGGCGACTTGCGCCCATCGCCGTGGTGGTGATGATGGTTGAAGGGGACGCTCGCCCCGACGGCGGCCAGAAGCGGGTCGGGCGGGCCCATGAGGTTGAGGTCCAGGTCACCTTCGTCGTCGTCCTCATCCTCCTCGTCGTTATCATCTTCGCCGGTCTTCGTCGACAGGGTCGATTCCGTGGAGGAGCTGGTGAGGGCGGTACCGGCAGCAGCCTTGCTGTCGCCATCAAGGTCTTGCTCTTGGTGCTCGCCGGTCCCTTTGCCAGGCGACTCCTCTGCATTCGAACGAGATGCCGCTTGCGTCTCTCCGTCGTCAGGACGATCCTCATCTCCATCGACGCTGCCTTGGCTGCTTGCGTCCTCGTCATCGTCCTCCACGTCGACGGCATCCTCGTCGTCGCTGTCGCTGATCGGCAGAATCATGATGCTGGAACGCACGCCGCCGTCGCCACGGATGCCGAGGGGGAGGACGTACGACGAGGGCAGGCCGTACCTCCAGTGCGTCGGGAGGAACCACCAGCCCGCGAGCCAGTAGCGCAAAAAAGCCAGGATGGCGCTCAGTACGCCGCCGGGCGTCCGGCGAGGCGAGCGGGCGCACCCGCCGCGCCACTGCGACAGCGCCGACTCGGACCTCGTCATCGCATCGCCACCGCCGCCGTCGCCAGCACCGTAGTCGCCTTGGGCATCGAGCCGTCGCGTCTTTCGATGCGTCAGCGTCGACGCAGCAGCAGCAGCGGTGCCTCGATCCTCGTCGTGACGCCGTCGGAGGCTGCCCTTGCTCGCCTTCCTCTTGACCTTGGACGTGCTGCCGCTGCCGCTCCTCTTGCGTCCGCCGAGGAGGATGAGGCGGTCAGCGTGCCGCTCGGCCTGGGCATCGAGCTCGTTGAATGTAGCAAACTCGCGCGTCGTCCAGCTCTGCTTCTTGGCCTCGACCCTTTCGCGCAACGGCGGTCTCGCGGCGGCCGATGAGGAGGAGGGCGCACCTCCGCCGGTCTGGACCGGCGTGCGGCTGACGCGCAGCAACTTGGCGCATGCGTTGGAGCTGAGGAGGCTGTTCTCGTCCAGCCTTCCGCCCGATGCGGGCGATGCTAGCGCCGACAGGTCGAGCACGCTGTCGAAGAGATGCGGCTTCTCGAGCAAGATCTTGTCCGAACTCCATGCGACCCAGCTCGGCGTGCCCTGAGCACGTCCGGCCTCGTCAACACCTCCGTCGTCGTTGGCTGCGGCGTGCTCGCCCGCCACCGCCGTGGTGCGCCTCTGCTTCTCCTCTTCTTCGAGGGCGATGATGTCGTGCACGCCTACCTGGCCGCGCACCCGGACAGAGACGAGGTTGCCGCCCTTGCGCGACATGGGCGAGGCTTCGGTGACGAGGTCGGCCAGGTTGTACCCGATATAGGCCGCCTGCAGCAGCGGCGGGGCCGGTGCGAAGATGAGGAGGCGGTGGCCGCGGATCATGAGCTTCTTGAGGATCGTCGGGAGCAGAGGGCCGAGCGCGCTGCACATGGCGGGGAGGTGCGAGGTGGGGTCGTGATAGAGCTGTGCGACCGTATCGAGTCGGAGCGCCGGAGCGGAATGTAAGCTGCGTTACTCCTTCTCGGCGTGTGAAGGCACATTGCATCCAGCATCGAAGGGGCATGCTCACCATCTTCGGGTCGCGACGGCGTCGTATCCTCAGCTGGCGCATCGTCGATGCGGCCATCCACGTTTCTGAGCTGCCGCCGTTGCCGGCATTCGGCTGGTCCTTGCCCTGCGAGCTGCGCGTGACGGCATGGGCGTCGTAGTACGACTTGAGGAGCTCAGTCTGGTCGGGCCGCTGCACGAGCTGGTCCGCCAGCTTCTCCAGGTTGTCGAGGTGCGGTACGATGGCGAGCTGCTGCGCCGTGGGGCTCATGGCGGCCTCGGTCGAGAGGCACGAGAGGACGAGGCCGACGCTGATCATCCGGGCGCCCCTCTGATCCACGCCTCCGCTTCCCGCAGGCGCAGGCGCAGGCGCGCTGACGGACGAGGTGGCGGCGGAAGCGGCTGTACCGAGCTTGATGTTCCGAAAGCAGGCGACGCCGACCTGGCCCCGCCTGGTGCGTGACGACTCAGATGGCGGTGGCGTGCTCGGCTGAAAGTAGATGGTATCCCTCTCGATCAGATGTCCGCCACTGGGGAGTACCTTCCACTCCACACCAGTGAGATCCACCGCTTCTCCCTCCCATCCCACCGTATCCGCCGCGATGCCATCGTCCGTATCGACGAGCTTTCCCGTAGCCGCACCAGGCCGAGGGGGCCACTGGAAGTCGATCTGGTTGCCGCTGCGCACATCGAAGCGAGCGAGAAAGATCGAGGCGACGTTGGACGGTAGCAGCGAGAGGGTCGGCGGCGGCAGTGTCGACGACGAGGACGGCGATGCGCCGCTCTCGTCGGGCACCCGAAGCCTATCGGAGGCCATGGTGGCCCGATGTGGAAGATGGAGGCGCCGCGGTCCACTTGGTAGGCGCCTGTTCGGAGAGCTGTTAGCCGGGCTACGGGCGGACCGATGCAGACGTCGGCGGCTGGGTGAGCCTGCAAACAAAGAGGACGGGACTGGTGATGCGAGCGAAGGTGAGGGAGAGGGAGAGGGTATCGATGAAGGTCGGGGGCGAGGTGGATGTGGGCGGAGGGATAGGTGAGAGAGAGAGGCAGCCCCGCTTTGGCCTCCTCCAGAAAACTTGGCCAGGCCGCATGGCTCACGGACCTCTTTGGTCGAGTGCTCGGGCCCAACCTCCGGCTTGGCAGGCCATCCATTTGAAATCAAGGACCCGATGTTGGCTAGGTTGGAATCGGGCTCCAGGCTGGCCTGGCCTGCCCGTGCCGAGGTCCCACTCGACCTCTTCACCATCATCACTCTCGCTCTCTCTGTCTTCGCAGCCTCTGTTCCCGTCCGGGCGATCAAGCTTGGGTCTCGGTGGTCGTCATCTATATTTCGTATCACCAAGCCTCGACCTCGCCGATTAGACCGTCAGCCGCCAACGACTGTGGCCACCAGGATGGGCCGAGGCCTGCTTATGTACAGCACCGCGGAACTGTCCCGCGAACGGAGAGCCGCCAGCGCGCGCGAATGTGCGGCGGCCCGTGGGTAGGGCCAGGGGACGAGAGCGACCGAGGACCGTCTCTTCTACTGGCGCTTTTCGAGAGGGCTGCCAAGCGCTTAGAAGGCCTTGTTCATCAGCGAGAGCGAGACCTCAACGCCGAGGAAGGTGGCGGCGTTGGCGGGGAAGGCACGAGCCATGGCCGGTCCGAAGCCCTTGAAGAGCGCCTTGACGCCGTCCTTAGCGACCGTCTTCTTGGCGCAGTCGACAAAGCCGGTGTAGGTGCCGTGCGGGGCTCCCTGGTATCGCGACTTGATGACATCCGGAGGGATGGCCAGCGCCCACATGGCCATACCGGCCAGACCACCGGCGGTAAGGACATTGAGCAGGTTGAGCTCCTGGGCGTCCTGGCCAGGGGGCGTCAGCATGCGCTTGGCACCCTCGTAAGCGCAGAAGTAGCTGTAGACACGAGGGGAAAGGGAAGAAGGAGATTCTCCGGCGTCAGTAGCTGGAAGAAGGCACCATGCTCTCCCTCGGCTCTAGCCGCTCGGTGGGTGTCTGTACTCACGCAGCGCTTCCAGGGCCGTCACGAGCCAGGGTGGCACCAGTTCCACGGAAAATCGACTTGAGACCGCCCTCCTTGTACAGCTGGCGGACAACATCAACGGGGCCGTTGTAGACGGGGCCAGTGGTGTTCCCCTGACCTTGGAGCTGCGGCGCAACGATACAGAGGAGAGCAGAAGGACCAAAGGAGCGAAGTCCAGGTGTCAGCGCGAGCCCAATCTCACCCGATGCTTTTCATCTGCCGGCCCAGGTCGCCCGAGCTGCAAAGGGCGGATAGACACTCACCTGGAGGAGGACCTTGACACGTTCCGCGGGACCAGCAACCATCGTCGTGGGGACGGAGCTGAAAAAGCCGGCAAATGCGAGCTCTGGGAGCGAGAGCTTGGGGTCCGTGCGACCGGGGGTGGCGGCGTAGACGAGCTTCTTGCCCATGTCGTAGGACCAGAACGAAAGCGCAAAGATGGGCGTCACTCCGACCAGCGGCGGGCCCATTCCTCGGTAGAGACTGGAAGCGCAGAGGTACGAATAAGCGGCGAGAAGTGGTCAGCATCAAATTTCCGGCAGACAAGTTCATCGAGCGCCAGAACCCGAGCACGATAGGTGCCATCCAGCCGGGCGCCGTCGTCTTCGAGCGTGGCCCGAGGAATGTCCGCCAGACCGTGGCTAACTCACCCTCGGATTCCGTCCGCCTTGATGGTCTTCTTGACGACATCGAGGCCGCCAGTGTAGGTGCCCTCGGCAGCGGTCTGCAGGCGGGTCTTTGTGAGGTCGAAGGGGTGTCCGACGAGAACGGAGCAGACACCGCCGAAACCACCCGAGAGGAACGACTTGACCGAGGAGGTGGCCTGCTTCTTCTGCTCAAACTCCTCGTCCTTGATTCCGGCTGCTGTCTGGTCGTCGGCCATGTTGGCGATGCGATGCGGGTGCTGGGGTCGGGCCAGGGGGAAAAGGCCAGGGTCGAGGAGATGCGGGCTGGCGGGCGGGCAAGTGGAGGGGAATGTACACGAACGAAACGCGGGCGAGCGAAGAAGGAGCGGTGGTGGTGGTGGTGGTGAGAAGCAGAGAGGATGCGAAGGGGAAAGCGAGGGCGACGGCGACGGCGACGGCGACGGCGGAAGAAGAAGCGGGGAAGCCGGCAGGGCGGGGTCGGGCGAGAGAGGTGCAGGCAGGCAGCCGCCAGCGAGCGCGGGCTGTCTTCTTTTTGAAAGGGCCAAGCAAGGCGAGCGAGCGGCCGTGCTGTGACGACGGCTCAAGCGCCCGCCCGGCCTCGCTCCTGGACCGACACCGGCCGGAGCCACCTGAGGGTCACGATCGACGGGCCGGTTCCTCTGCTGCTGTGGGACGCGGGCATGGCATGGCGCTGACTCCCCTCTCCGTACGTCCCAGCCAGCCCCGCACTCGCTGTCGTCGTACGTCCTGGTACCGGTAGCATAGCACGCCTAGATGGCCGGCCCAACCTTGGCCTTGTCCGGCTTTACTTTCTCTCTCTTCTCCCCTTGCTTCTTGCAAGCTTGCCCTCTGTGACGTTTGAGAGGGCGGCGGCGAGGGCCCTCTGGATTCCTGCATCTGGCGATGCGCCAGCCAGCCAGCCAGCCAGCTTGGCGCGCTCCTCGTTCAAGGCCCCTAGCCTGCCCTGGCCCTGCCCGTCTGCCCGGGCTTGGTTGTTCTTGGCCCTGGGGCAGCCAAACCCGCAATTTCACGCGCACCCGAGTGAGGCCTGCCCGCCTGCCTGCCTGTCTGCCTGCCCCTTCGTACGTCCTGGCCGGCCGGCAAGCCTTTGCTCGTCCGAAAAGCGGGGAGCCTGCCTCCCTTAGCTTCTTGCCTACCACTCGAGCTTCGTCAAACTGGGCGGAGAGCAGGGGAGCCTAGGGCGCCTTTGAGCCGCCGCCGCCGCCGCTGCTGCTGGTGACGGACTCGCTGCCCACCTGGCCTGCCCCGGCCGCTGCTTCGAGGCTTGACGATGCCGCGGCCAAAAAACAGCCAGCCAGCCAGCCAGCCAGCCAGCCAGCCAGCCAGAGGGAGCTGGGCTTTGTTCCGATCCGCCCGGCAGGCACACGTACGGCGGCGGCCAATTTTCTCCTTTGCCCCGCCTCGACTCGCCTCGTACACCGTATCCCCGCAGGCCTCGCCGTCGCCGTCGCCGACACCGACCGCAGGCTTCTTGTCAGCGTCTACTCTCCCTCCCCGTGCGCAGGGTGCGATCTTAAGCGGGCGAAGCAACCCGCCTACCAGCATGCTGCCGAATCACACCGCCTCGTGCGTCAATAGGCGGTCGTGAGGCGTATCACCAGGAGCAGGGTGCCATTTCGCCGCCGCTCACACACCGGTCTCTCGTTGGTCCCGAGTCCGAATCGAGCGTCTGACACCGCAGCGGACGATGCCAAGCGCCCTGATTGTCACCACCATCATTGCGAGCGCCTGCCGACGCCCACCTCCCTTGTCCCATGCATCGCCTTGCTGTGGCTCCATCAGAGGCCAACCACATCCCAAAGGCAAGCTGGAGGCACCACGGACACGCCGAGAAACAGGGAACCAAGGTATTCGGCGACTCGCCCGCCGACCAGGCAATGTCCGCTCGCGACACCGCACAACACATACATGCTCCCGAAGAGGAAAGGAAGAGGAAGCAGGCAATACAGAGCACGCGGGAGAGGGCGACCAGGACCAGGCCACCACGCGAACCCAGACCTCGGGCTGGGCTTGGTCGCAGCGGGATCATGGGCGTTCAGGCTGGCTGGCCATCTATCGCCTCTGCGAGCCCCGGCCGTATCCGTTCTGCATGGCGTCGCTGTTGCGTGGTTCAGGGGAAAAGCATGGGAGCCAAAGCACGGATCTGGGGCATCAGCACAAAGGGACTCGCATCCTGCCAGGAGCGGCGCTCGCTGCCGTACTCACAGCTCTGCCTCGAGGCCTTTGATGGAGCCGTGCGCCGTCTCGAGATCCTTGTTGAGCCGGTCTCGCTCGGCGATGAGCTGTACCGGGCGGCGGTGAGCAATCAAGGGATGAAAGGGAGGGCGGCATGGTTAGCCAACGTCCGCCGCAATTTTGTCGGCCCGAGCATTGCGGCTCGGATCGGCCGTCGAGCAGTCTCGGTCACTCACGTGCTGCTCCCATTGCCTGAAGCGTGCCTCCTCGAGCTTGACCTGCTCGGTGAACCGCTTCCTCAGCAGCTCCTCCTCCTCCTTGAACTTGGGGTTGTCGAGCTTCTTGACCTTGGGCTCGCCAAACTTGCGCGTCTCCATCTGCGCCTGGCGGTAGTTTTCGTAGTGCGTCTCCTCGGTCGTCGAAATGAGGTCGAGCATGTGGGTTCTGATGAGCAGCGAGCGCAGCTTCTTGAAGTCGCAGTGCTCCTCGTTCTCGACTGAAGGAACCCAGGCGCGGGCAGCGTCGGAAGGCAAGGCAGAGAAAGGTCGCAGGAGACGGATAGAACAGGGTCAGCGCATGCCGAGACGCGACTCATCGCTCCACCTTGCTTCAGAGCCGGCGGCGGGCCACGAAACGAAACGGGAGCAACGCACCTTCGGCGACTCCCCAGAGGTAGTCGCGGCCCTTGACGGTGCGACCGTCGGCGGTCTGGACGTCCTGGGTGCTGCCAATGATGGAGAAGGGCATGGCGCCCATCAGGGTCTTGGCGTGCTCGGCGCTGGCCTCGTCGTCGGCCTCAATCGGAGGGTTGTAGATGGTGATGCCCTGTGTGTTGATGACCTCGCGGATCTGCAGTGCGGTGAGCGATCAAGGGGCGACAAGAGAAGGTAGGTTTGGGAGAGGACGGGAAGGACGACAGCACGGCCTGGTCAGCAACTGTGGCGGCGCCAAAATCGTGTCGAGCTGGGTTGCGCGTGGTTGCACTCGTAACCCACCCTCTGCTTGAAGACGGCAAGGTCGTTCTGGGTGAGGGTGTCGGCCTTTGCAATGACGGGGATGAGGTTGACGCGGGTGCCGAGGCGCTTCATGGTCTCGATGTCGAGGGGCTTGAGGGTGTGGCCGGTGGGGCGGATAAAGTAGAGGCAGGCGTGGACGCGGAGGTCGGTCTTCTCCTTTCGCTCGGGCTGCTGCTCCTGGCGCATGTAGAGCTCGTGCTGGTCGTCGATGAAGTCGACGATGGGGGTCCAGCTGTCGCGGTTGTTTACGTAGTCGCCAAAGCCGGGCGTGTCGATGACGGTGAGCTTGACCTTGAACTGCTTCTCCTCGAGCTCGGCCTTGATGATGTCGATCTCGACGGTCTTGTCGAGCTGCTTGATGTGGCGCTTTGTGTGGTCCTTTCCGGTGGCGAGCTCGGTGCTGAAGAGGGTGTTGATGAGGGTCGTCTTTCCGACGCCGCTCTCGCCGACGACCATCAGGGTAAAGTGGCCGCCAGCCTTGGCGACAATCTTGTGCCTCTGGTTGGGCAAGTTGGCGATGCCGATTCCATTGGCGGCCATCTTGTCTTGTGGTAGGTGTGGTCCGAGGGGTGGTGTGGTGAGGTGGGGGTCGATGGACGGTCTAGTCTGCCGGTGAGCTGAGGTCGGAGCGTCCAGAAGTCCTAGTGGCGGAGCGTGTAGACAAGGAGCGGTCCGAGACGGAGGGTCGAGTCGAAGGTGGCCGTCGTTTCCTCGTTCACAGCGAAGGGCAAAGAGAGTTGGGTGGTTCGAGGGGCGTGGCGGCAGCACGAGGAGGGGCAGAGGGTCGTATGATGGTGAGGCGAGGAGGAGGCGGAGGAGCAGGACGAAGGGGGCGGCAAAGGGCTGCGTGTGTTGGACACGCGCGTGCTGCCCGGCAGGCAGACCTAGAGTGGGCAGGGCGAGGCAGGCGCTGGAGCTGGGTGGTGGGACTTGGGCCTGGCCGCCTGCCTGCCTGCCTGCCTGCTTCTTCGGCCTCGCTCTGCCAGGCGGGGGGGCTGGCTGGCTTGCTGGCCTGTGAGCGGGATGGGCTGCGCCTGCGCCTGCGACTGCGCCTGTGCTGCGCTGGTCGCCCTCGATTGGCCCTGCCTGACTCTGCCCGCCTGGCTGCGTTTGCGCCCGTCTGCGTGCGCCTGGGCCAGGCGAGGCAGGCAAAGAAGGACGTCTGTGCGCGCCCTCGCCGCCGCCGCCGCTGCCTTTCTGGAATTCCCTGGTCGAGGCAGGCCTCCCGATGTGCTTGCTTTCGGCCGATACAGGGGCGCTCTCCTGGCCGCCCTCGCCCTTTCCCTCTTGCTATCGTCACCATGCGATGCCGTCTGGATGGACGGTTGCACACAGCCATCGACGAAGCTGCGTTGCGTCGGCCAACCATTGAGAAAGGACGCGCGCAG